AGTAAATATTTGTTGATTTCATCTGTGATAAACTTCTCTCTTTCTCACATACCTGGTTATTATCTGGCAAACGCTGATTAATTCATTCAGAAAGCACTTCTTCAGACCTAGATACTGGGAGCGCAGAGACAGGAGACGTGGCTCCTGACCTCGGGGAGCTCAGGCACACAAGCAACAATCAGAACCTGGTGCAGGTGGAAGTAATGGGGAGCAGGGGCTAGGGGAGCCCCAAAGGCTGCTGTTCTGGGTAGGGGAATTCAGGGAAGGCTCCTAGGAACCAGGAGTCCCTTTAAGATTAAGTGCTGTTAACTAAGCATTATAGCTGGTGTGTGAAGGGGCATGTTAGTGAGCCCAAGCATGGAGCATTGGGTTCCAAGTCATTTGCTATTTCAGGAGCTTCTACTGCAAAGCTCAACCTATTCCCAAGGTCATCCACTCAGGTCAGGGCAGAAATGGGCTATGAAATCACAGGCCCTTTCCCTTGGTAAGCGGGCGCTGAGAGCATACGGATGCACCTCATGGTAACTGTGGCTTCATAAAAATCAAAGCTGATTGATGGGAGCAGGCTCTCTGCCTTCGTGTGTTTAGTCTGCCCGTGCTTTTAGCACCGCTGTGGCTGTGCTTCCTAATGGAAATGCATTTCTCACTCTCACCATTACCCAGATATAGATGCTCTCGGATATAAAAGGCCATTTACCTCAAGATCTTTGTCTTGTAAGGCATCCCTAATTCAGGAAGGAAACGAGAAGGAGTCGAGAAGAACCCACCACAAATGTTTTGTCAGGTAGTTCAGAGAGAGAGAGAGAAAGAGAGATAGGAATTTAAAGAGCTCAATTTATGTTTGGCTTGAGTTTGCAGCACCATTACCCTGACTCAGTCCAGTTCGAGGAATTCACTTTCTTTTGTGAGGGACTCTAACATAAAACATTAAGCTAAAGGTTTATTTTTGCCATTTTTTCTTTAAGATATTATGATTGACAAAATAATAAAATCTTCCATTCATTTTATAGCTCAGTGGGCCCAGGACCTTATCGGTATTATCACATCAACTCGGACATCTATTGTGGGGTAGGAATTATTCCCACTACACAGGTGTGGAGTCAGAGGCTGAGAGAAGCAAAGCAGCACATCCAGGGTATCCAGATGGCATAACTGGGATTTGAAAACAAGCACACCTGCTTCCAACGTTGGGGGCTCTTACCACACCCAATGTCTTTCAGACTGGACATACATGTGCATGTTAAAACACATGATGAAGAGCTGTCCACATTCAGAGCTAGGCACTGCAGGAAACATGCATCCACCTCTCATTCAGGAGGAGGAGCTGGGTGCCCATCAGAGTTGTTGTAGATGGACTAGTTGAAGAGAAAGAAAGGGAACCCTCCTGGAAACACTCAGAAGGCAGATTCCAAGGTTTCTTTCAAATAATTTGGCTTAATAATAACAAGCCACCGATAAGTGACTCATTCTCTCCTATAAAATCACATTATGTCTGGCCAAACTGATCTTTCCATCCAATTATCCTGAATAACAAGCTGGAAAAGCAGTTCATACTCAAAACTGCCAAGGCAGGGCTCTCTGATTTGCTGTGTGACCACGGTGGTGCCACTGACCCTCTCCGAACGTCGTATGAGCTGCAGAGGTCAACTTTATATGGCACCTGGAAAGAGGGAGGCTTCTCAGAGAGGCCTTTGAATCATTGTGGTTTGCTCATCCATGGAAAGGCAGGATAGGAGCAGAGAGGTAGAGGTGACATCTTCAAAAGGAAGAGAGTAGCTCTGAACTTCTGGAAGAGCCATGCTAGAGAGTGGGCACGCATGCAGTAATCCTGCTACTTCACTAAGAAGCAGGAGAAAAAAGGTTTTGCATTAAGAAGTTGACACGCAGAAATGAGCCTGAAGCCTCCTGTGACACCACCCATTAAGACTCAGAGGAGGAAAGACTGTCGGGTCCGGGAACCCTCAACACATGGGCCCCCTGAGCAGTGCTTCCCAAGTGCCGCAGCTCAGGGTCAAATTCTCAAAACAAAGCACACCTTAATTCACTTTGGTTTAGTAATTAAACATGAGGTACCTAAAACTTTTAGGAAAGTGAGAATAGCGCATGAAAAGATACTGGGAAATCAAAATAATATATGGATGTTAACTCCCTTGAAGCAGCATTTTCCTGCTGGACAAGGTTTGGGGGAGGGGAGCATTATTCTGGGCACAGCAAGTGTTTTATCTGCAACTGATAAATCTCAAATCCTCCAAGCTTCTGTTTCTCCCTACTTAAGACCTGGGTCACGGTATTTATTTACTTAAGTGATGGAGATGACGGCAGGCTTAACGCTGGCCACCTGTCAGAATAGCAGTAACCTGCCTCTTAAGGGGATTTCAGCGACCCCCCCCCCC